CATTCTCCATTAAACAATAAAGCAAGCTGTAAAGCCTCAGGTGCTATGTTTGCTGTGCGGTCTGCGCAGCGAGGTGGCTCCGGGCTCCGGGAGCCCAGTGCAGTGGGCCGGGGAGCGCCTCTTCGGCTGATCCCAGGGAAAGATAAGGAGCCGCCGAGCCACCAGCTCTGTCTAGACTCGCGACCTCACAAGTCAAGCGCCTTGTTTGGATTAGCCCTCCAGATCTGCCAACCTGATCAACCCCTGAAAGAGAAGGGCCCAGAAACACCCCCTTTTCCTCTTCTGGGCTACGACGATTGTCGCTCCTTTAAGGGATCAAGGGCCGACTTGCCCGCGGGAGTGGTGGGGCTGGTTAGACCAGTGTAAAGAACCCCCCCCCCCCCCCACACACACACACACTCCTCACAACTCGCCGGTCCCCCAGCACACAGGAAACACACCCGTGGGAAGGCCACTAGAACTGCATGTAGAAATAAGACAATTTCACAAATTACATTACTCCAAAAATGACGGCAAACTTTTTGATCAATGCTATGAAAAAGTCGAGAAATAGGTAACTCTAACTAAGTGAAACCTCCCACCAGAATCTCTAAAGGGGCTGTAAGTGTGTCTTCTCACCATGCCTGATCAAAAGCAGTCACTACCCACCACTGTCTTGCAAAACTGGGTGTCTCTTTTCTGGGAAAAATAAAAGGAACAATATTTTCTTTTTATAAGTCATGTACATATACCTGCTTCACGTTTTTTGCAGAAGTATAAACAGAATTATATTGCTTTTTTATTTTTATTATTTTATTTTATTATTATTATTATGGTTTTTATTTTTTATTTTTTTATTTTTTATTTATTTATTTATTTTTGTAGAAACAAGGAGTCTTAAGCAGTGTTCCAAGAAGAGGCTGTACTCCTGGAGGCTGGGAAACTGACTTCTTGGAGCCAATGTACGAAGTATCATAAAATTAAAGGATGTTTTTGTAACAATGCTCACAACAACCGGCCCTCCCCCCTCCTCGGATGCCTGTAAAGCAACTTCTCTGTCTACACTTCAGAAGTCTCTGGAGAGGTGTGGAAAGACCCTCCATCACGCCTGGGACATTGTCAGCTGTGAAGTTTACGTTTGTGGCGCCTGGGCTCAAGCAGCCATCCAGTGGCTTGCTTGGTTATCAAGAAAACAACAATCAGGAAAGAGGGGGAAACAGATTCTCTGCCAGAGCCTTGAATTAATTACTTAGAGTATGAAAACACCAAGTCACACTGTAAGCATTGCAGTGCTTTTATCACAAATCCGTAGCAAGAATTGAAGGTTTAGATCCATTTTTTCTAAAGTAACTTTCCTTATTTTTTTTAAGGCAGAGAAATACTTGGCCTTCCAACATGCCCAAAGAAAATCTAAGTTGCTTTACTGTCACACAATCTTTAATTGTCAGTTAACATGGGAGGAAAATTCAATCAATAGAACTCAAGCCTAATTTGGATTATAAATTTCATTGATAAAAGTTAACTAAACTGAATTTTACAAACAAGAAAATAAACACTTTCTATGAGTTTACTCATTTGGGAACATCCAAAGTGGCTAGGTGTCATATAAACAACCACTTGGGGGAGGAGAGGGATGAATTAAAAACCTTTACACTACATTTTCTTAGGGAAACAACTAAGTGATCCCTAGTAGGAAACAACAAAGTTAGACTTCAATAATCAATTTTGTGTGTCGCTTTTAAGTGCAAAGCATTAAGGAAAGACACTGAATTTGCACACGTTGTCATTTTGGCTTGCAGTCAAGGGGATGAAGATTGATCAGAAAGGGGGGGTCAACAAATAGAGTTTAACAAGTTGATGGGGGTGAATGGCAAGAAAGCATCCCAAAGTTGAACTGTGAATACTAGACACCAAGAAAAGTTTTGTGTGAATAACAAGACATACACACACCCATGCAGAATGATACATAAGTGTTATTGCAATGGGGGAGGTCTGCAAGCATGATTCTAATTTAAAAGGAAAGTTTTCAGTGTTAAGAAATTTTGATCCCTTTGATGAAAGGGGAACAAAGAGGAATAGTAAAATAGATAGGTTACTGTTCTGAAGAAACCCTATGGGGTACTCTCATCTTCAAGGGTGTAGGACCTGATATGAATCCCCTGGTTTAAGAGGAGCATCCTAGATGATTCGATTGCATCCAATAATAGTTTTCAGAAGATAGAGGAAATGAGTCATAATATCTAGAATGAAGGACTCAGAGGAACAGGGAGTGGGGGACACAGACAATAGCAAATAAGAGGGGTTTGGTTAGAGGAAAAGAGCTCACAACTGGGTCTCCAGAGGTGTGCAGAGGAAGGGGGAGAGGGCAACGGTGACTTGCAAACAAGAAGGCATGTCAGCCTTGTTTCAGAGCACACCCTAAGGAGGATAGAAGGGGAAGACACATCTTTATCATCAATAATACAAGAACTCGACCCATAATTCATTCTCAGCCATCGGGACAACAAACATCTTGCATCTAGAAAGTGTAATCCAAATGATTCATCATTCTCTGCTAAATGACTTAAATTCAAGCTGTGGACTTCAGAACAAACTGGCATCTACATACACAAAATATCACCACACACACACACACCTCTTTAATCTCAGAAATCAGTACCCAGAGGATTGAAGATAATAGAGATATGCTTCTTGCCCCAGTCTCCCCATTGCATGAAAAGTATAAATAAAGTTGTTGTTCAGATTTCTGCCCTAATGGTGGGAAAGGGACTTCAGTGATCTTTTTGCACCTCACCCTGAGCTTGCATAATCAGGTAACTTTCAAGCTTAACTTGAAACTCACATTGTACCTGCCACCCTCCAGCATGCTTAATTGGTAGCTTTTCTAGGTATAAGGTAAGAAAGGGGGAAAGCAAACGGTGGACGAATTGATACAGCAGCCAGGAAACTAGAAGAATCAACTTCGATGATAGGAGATTAGAGACCAGGACAGGAAAAAAAGAAGAAAGAAAGGAAGGAAAGGAAGGGAAAGGAAAGGAAAGGAAAAGAAAGGAAAGGAAAGGAAAGGAAAGGAAAGGAAAGGAAAGGAAAGGA